ACTGCCAAGCAAGTTTCCGGAAAAAAGAGAGGAACCATCTAATTTGTTTGGAAACTTTCATCAGAGAGGCCTTCATCAAAAAACAACATTTAACAGCAGTTTTCTTCAATTTAGAGAAGGCCTATGATACCACCTGGAGGCATGGTATCATGAAAGACCTAAACAATCTAGGATTAAGAGGAAGATTACCACTTTTTATTCAAAACTTTCACTCCCATAGAAATTTCAGAGTCCACATGGGATCTACTCTTTCTGACCTCCAAAATCTAGAGGAATATAGAAAGGGAGTATACTGTCCGTCACACTGTTCTCTATTAAAATTAACAATATCATCAAATGCCTCAATCCCACACTCGACTGTGCTCTCTATGTTGACGACTTTGCAATCTGCTAGAAGTCTACCAATATGTACACAATAGACAACGATTTCAGATCTTCAAAGACTAAATGTGTAAATTTTTCCTCTCTAAGGAAAATGCATAATGACCCAGTCCTCAAACATGTGGGATCTGAAATACCTGTCATAGTCCAATATAAGTTCCTTGGTGTCATCTCCAACAAAAAACTATCATTCATCCCTCACATAAAATACCTAAAAAAACAAATGTGCCAGAGCCCAACAACTTTTGAGAGTGGTTGTAAATACAGAATGGGGAGCTGACTGGCAAACACTCCTAAAATTATATAGGACATTAATCCAATCACAACTGGATTATGGCAATCTCATATACCAATCTGCAAGGAAGTCCTACAAAAAAAAAACTTGACCCAATTCACCATGAAGGTTTGATACTGATCTTGAGAGCCTTCAGAACCTCTCCAGTGGATAGTCTGTACATTGAGGCCCATGAAGCACCTTTACAACTTAGATGTAAAAAAATTGGCCCTTCAATAGCTCACAAAACTGAAATCATTCCCATTCAACCCTGCCTATGACTATATCTTCAACCCAAAATATAAGCAAAGCTCTGAGGAAATGCAATAAAACCCTTTGTTCTTTGTATAAAATCCACCCTTGAAGAAGGTAAACCCAAAATAACTAATATTCACAAAACAGTCATTTCTAAAACATTGCCATGGATGATCAAAAAGCCCAGAGTTAATCTCTAACTAAGCAAGTTCCTCAAACAAAAGACTCATTCTATCAATTATCATGATCAATTCCACAAAATTTGTGAACAACATCCTAAACACTTCTACATTTTTACTGATGATTCAAAAGACAATAATAAAATAGCATGTGCAACCATTTCTCACAAGAAAGCTCTTCTAAAGGAAAGCTCAATTTTTACTGCAGAAGCCTGTGCAATAGATCTGGCTCTTGACATAATTTATGACAACAACTACAAAAACGCCGCCATCATATTCTCAGATTCTCTCTCTGTATTAACAACACTAAAAAATAAAAAACAAGAAGATCCCCAAATAATCAAACTATTAAACAGATTGGACTTTGTCCAATATCAGAAAGATCACATTATGCTGGATCCCAAGCCGTATTGGTAAAGGGTAATGAAAGAGCAGACTCAACAGCCAAAATTGGCTCTAGATTTAAAGGCCAACAAGTTTGAGATCCCTTACACTGATCTGAAACCCCAAATCAACAGATTCCTTCATACAGAATGGCAGTTGCACTGGAGTAAAAACGTCCACAACAGACTTTTTCTGTCAAACCATTTTTTGGGAGAATGGAAACCAGCCTTTAGAAAAACTAGACAGGAAGAGGTTATAATATCACGACTATGTATTGGTCACACCAAACTTACTCACTAATTTATACTTAAACAAGAACTATGACCAAAATGCAGAATCTGTTGGATCTCCTACACCATTAATCACATTCTCATAGAATGTAATGCTCTTACTCAAATAAGAAAACGATTCTACAAAGCAAGTAACTTAAATGATCTCTTCAGAAATTCAAACATTGATAACATCTTGTCCTTTCTGAAAGTTACAAAATTATGCCAAAAATATAAACTCCAAAACTGGCCAATATAAATTTTTTTCTTAACCCTTATACACAAAAATAACCAAAACAGTTGTGTGTGTGTGTGTGTGTGTGTGTGTGTATATATATATATATATATATATATATATATATATAACCATATATTTTTTCCCAATCATGCATATAATATATATGTATAAACAAGATTTAGCATTATATAACCCTCAGGGTTGATGTGCCATAAAACCTAATCAACCAACCGTTCAACCAAGTACCTAATGATTATATATATATATATATATATATATATATATATATATATAGATAGATAGTTTATGCAAATTTAGGTAATCCGTATGGGTAGACCTGAGGAGGATGATATCCAGAGAGCTCAATGTAAAATTCAGAGCAGATATGTTTGAATAAAAGACAGACCCGTTAAGATTCCATGTAATAAGCTATTTCACCATAACCCCTTTTACAGGGTTCTGGATCATCAGACTTTACTTCCAAAAAAGCTGAAATGAAGAATGAAAAGAAATTCACACGTTTTTACGGACCTCATCAAGTATACGCAAAGTTAAGTGAGGTGGGAGAGGATATGAGTGTGTCATATGTATCATTTTAGTTTCTTAAACCCCAGTGTGTCGGCTGGATGTTGCTCAAATCTAATGCGTCTCGTCTCTAGATAAAAAGGTGGTTAAGGGGGTGAGCGATAAGGAAACGTTACAACAACCCCAATAAAAACGACAGGTTTCATTCAAATTCTTAGACGCTGTCAGTTCGCGTTTTCAACTTACATATTTGGGAGGTTAAGGTTTGATAAATATCTAAATTTTAAAACAATCTGAAGAAATTAATTTGAAATTCGGTGGAGTTTTGGGTATTTTCTATGAAGCAGTCGATTGGAAAAATCCATAGACAGAACATTGAAAAGTAATCAATTTATATTTAGTACTTTTTCCACTAAAACTTTTATCTTATAGCTTGTTAGGTTGACATTTCTTCGTTTGATTTTTGTTCATTAAGTAAACTTGTGATTGTTTTTGATTTTTGTTCATTAAGTAAACTCGTGGTTGTTTTTATGTATCCAATTATCAACAGTTATTCCCATTTAAATAATTTTATTTTCCACATTGGGGTAGTATCTTTCAATCTCAATTAAAATACTAATCTTAAACTTTCCCTTCGTGCTATTTAGAATTCACTTCCAATTGGAGAATATTAGAGGAGAAATTTGGAAGAGATGTCATACGCACATATATATATCTACACATCCATACACATATACAGATATATATATGTGCGTATGAGTATATATGAATATGCAGATGTCCTTGTGTGTATATGTATATATGTAAGTATAAGTATACATGGAGATAGGTATAGACACATGTGGATGTGCGTTTTCTCTGCAGGTGTATATGTGTAAAGATGGAAATATACATATATCATTCCGTGTGAATGTGTGTGTAGGTGTATATAGGAACTCATAGGCATATAAGACGATATAGGTATGTGGTTACGAATAGGGGTTTAAGGCAGGTGTAGATAAGAAAATGTAAAAGAAGGGCCTAATTTTCTGCTAGTGACATCTCTTCCAAATTTCTCCTCTAATATTCTCCAATTGGAAGTGAATTCTAAACCGAAGGAAAGTTTAAGATTAGTATTTTAATTGAGATTGAAAGATACTACCCCAATGTGGAAAATAAAATTATTTAAATGGGAATAACTGTTGATAATTGGATACATAAAAACAACCACGAGTTTACTTAATGAACAAAAATCAAACGAAGAAATGTCAACCTAACAAGCTATAAGATAAAAGTTTTAGTGGAAAAAGTACTAAATATAAATTGGATTACTCTTTCAATGTTCTGTCTATGGATTTTTCCAATCGACTGCTTCATAGAAAATACCCAAAACTCCACCGAATTTCAAATTAATTTCTTCGTAGATTGTTTTAAAATTTAGATATTTATCAAACCATAACCTCCCAAATATGTACGTTGAAGTAATTTGTCTAAGAATTTGAATGAAACCTGTCGTGTAATTTATTGGGGTTGTTGTAACGTCTTCTTTATCGCTCACCCCTTAACCACCTTTATCTAGAGACGAGGGCGTTAGAATACACTGGGGTTAAAATAAAACTAAAATGATACATATGACACACTCATATCCTCTCTCCCACCTCACTTCGTTAACTTTGCGTATACTTGATGAGGTCCGTAAAAACGTGTGAATTTCTTTTTCATTCTTCATTTCAGCTTTTGGAAGTAAAGTCTGATGATCCAGAACCCTGTAAAAGGGGTTATGGTGAAATAGCTTATTACATGGAATCTTAACATGGTCTGTCTTTTATTCATATATATATATATATATATATATATATATATATATATATATTAGAGAGAGCCTAAACAAAAAGGAGTAACATATGGTCTCATGATTGTTAACATGTGAAACTGTCAGTCACATGCAGTGCTGATTTCTATCTCACACTAATATATATATATATATATATATATATATATATATATATATATATATATATATATATATATATAATCTGATTTTTTAAAAATTTTTCTCTAGCTTTCTTAGCTTGTACCTTTCTTCCTCATTTTCCACAATTCTTTCTTCCTCATAATTTATATCTATATTTAACATATTTGTATCAAAAGTTTATGGCTTTTTTGTTAAATTTATGAAAGTTAATGTACAGGTGTTTTGGAAAAGTTTTTTTCATTTTTAATATTTCTTGAGCTATGAGAAATTTGTTGTAAATTATTCCACAAAGTTAAGAAAATTTTGTATAAATATAAAAATTCCTTCAGAATGCAAATTATTTTTTGTGTGTTTTAGATTTTTGTCAAAGTAAAATTAGAAATATATATATATATATTTTTTTTTCTTATAGGTTAGTTTTATTCTTTAATGTTTTGTTAAGTCATATTCCTTGAGACATCTTGATAATTTGTCTGGTATTCCAATAAAGACTTTTCTTTTGGAACCAAACATTTTCTTTTTTGGTTGTTTGTCTTTTCAGCCATCTATCAAAGGTCTCCAGATGGCGGGTTTGCAGATTGTTTCTCTCACAGATACAACACCTATTACATTTAATACAGATCGACCAAGAAAACAACGAAGACTTTAAGTCTAGGTAGGATCTTTTATGCTTCAACTCTCACTCTCAATCATTGGCAATAAATGTTAAATTTCCATTGCACTAACAACAAAGACTCGTTGAGGGTTATTTTTTAATTTTGAGTATTCCATGTTGCTATGTACTAAATATTTGAATTTCTATAAACATTTTAACATCAATTTAAAAACGTTTCTTTTTTTGTGTATTGTAATGTTAGGAAATATTGTGTGTGTGTGTTGTGAGAAAGAGCAAGCACCTATCAAGAGTTCCGTCCAGTTATCTGATATTTCATTGGGTGTGATATTAACCATTACTTTATAAATGCAACTAGAATTTGGTCCAAATAAATGACAGACCTCATAGTGCAATGGATAGTGATATTGTTTTAAAAGTCATTAAAAATAGGCTTAATCCTTAATTCTAGCTCCAGATATGTAGCCAATTGCCAGAATCTGTTAAAATATTCTAAGTCAAAATATGTTTGTTTCAATGTAGGATAGGTTTCAGTTATTAGGATTTTGATACTCAATTGAATGCACCATCCTTGTAACTTAATGATAGGTTTGCATTCGTTAGTGTCTTCTGCTAGCCTTATCCAAATAAATCAAAAATTTTCTTAATATCTTCAAATATTTTGTCATGAATTGATATAATTACTATTTTTTAATAATTCGAATCTTTCAATGTAGTTTATAGATTTCTTTTTTTCTTTACATTGACCTAACTGATTTTTACCCTAACTTTGTACATATGATAATTTTTTTTATCTTTTATATTTCAGGCGATTTCTTATATGAAAATAAAGAGAAATAACCAAATTTTTTCCTTTTATGTTGTTTTTTTTTTTTTCTCTATATGTACATCAGTAATAGTATTTTTACAACTTCCAACTGATAGAAACTGAATAATGTTGAATTTCATACGTTTTAGGTATCAGTGCATTTATCTGATCAGTTGTAATTCAAATAATCACATTAAATTTTTCCTTTCATTATTCACGTTTAAGAAGGCTTAGTAAATTTGCTTTATGACCATAACAATAAAAATGCTGTTTCAAACAAAAAGAACCGGCATATATTCCAATAAAATATTTTTAATACTTTTTATAAGAGCAAAAATGCCTCATTCAAAGAGTAAAGTATCACTCAGAACATCAGTTTCTTTGCAAAAAAAAAAGAAAAGAAAAAGTACGTTATCGACCTAGAAACAACAAACACACTGGAACGGCAACATTTATAAATCTATTTCATGAGAATGTTTAAAAATTAAAGGGAAATAACTGTGAGAATAATTTCAGAGTTACTTCCCATGGTCGCGTTTTTCTCGTTAGAAGATAAATATTTTGAAAAATAGTTTCTTTTGATCAAAAAATAAAAAAAGAATGTTGAATATTTACCGTTTTCTTTTCTTTTTCTTCTTTTTTTTTTTTTTTTCAAATCTTCTGTTCCCAAATTATCATAATATCATGCATATATTTTTAGCAGAACCTGGGAGAGTTTCAACATTTCGTTGATTTATTTCACATGAAAACCTGTAAAAATGAAATAAGATATGAATACTTTTCACTGTTGTTGGTTGTTTTCAAGGAAAGGAGATTGAAAATTCAGGAATATTCAGTATGGAGTTTATATTGTTATTAGTTTATAACAGCAAATTAGTAAGGGCACCATGGATATGTGGTATCACACTTTGCTCAGAAACAGATGGCAGTTTAGTTTTCTCAAAAGAAATCTTGTGGCATAACCTACTAACACACACACACACACACACACACACACACATATATATATATATATATATATATATGTAAGTTTTTTAATATCAACAGAACCAAAATTTTCTAAATGACAAATAAATTGGTATACAATATTGGTCTTTTCCAGTGGGTTTTTTTTTTCTCATAGAGATGTGATAATGGTAATAACAAAGTAGAAAGTTTAAAATTCTTCAGAGTATATATAAACTCTATATTGGCTATTTCTGCACTTTAATCTTTTCCCCTTGAAAATTATCAACATATAATTTCAACATACCTCCACCTGGAGGGCAGAGCGGGGTAAATTAATTAACCACCAGGAAAAAACTCATCAAAAGGATCAGTAGATGTCCTCTGTTCTATTTAACAGAATGTATTTTAAATAATAAATATTCAAACAACTTCTGTTAAAGATAACAGACATTATATCTGTTATATTTTAATCAGTTTTTCTTGTTGACATTAATTTTTAAATTTTGCTGTTAACCCTATGTTAGTCAACTCAGATTTCTGAAAATATATAGTACCTTGGTGTCTGCCTCCTACAACAACTGTGCCACACAGTGTGCTACATACTCTCACTGAGTTAGGAAAGTAGTGGGAGGAAGCAAAAGAAACAAGTTGCTAACTAGGAATTATGAGGTACTTTAAAAATTTGGGGCTAACAACAAAACATCCCATGTGACTATGTTAAAGGTCAAAGGTGAATAGAGCTTGTTTACAGTTTGTGTTAATTTTTGTCAAAGTTTTGCGCTTTCAAATGGCTTCAGTCATTATTAAAAATAAAAGAAATGAAATTTAACATATTTAGTGATAATCCATCTTTGGGATGATTTTGAATATCGTGTTCTGAATGTTTGTGATGTTATGTAAACACAATGTTATTTTTTAGGTTTAAAAACTTGCCGAGTTGTGGGAACATGATGTAGTATGGATTCTGAGAATTTAAATATATTTATGAATGCCTATTGATGAATTTTGAGTGAATTTTTAGGATGAATTATTATTTACAGTTGGAATGGGTTGGAATTAGACTCCTCCCTTCAGGAATGTACCCACATCCCAGTAGATAACCTGATGGAAATGTTAACATTATATGTATAGGCAGCATTCTTCCAACTAGGGTCTGGCTTATATCAGCAGGAAGGGTTGGATATGGGCTCACCATTATTGTCACTATATGTATACATTGAATACTTCAAGCAAATAGCTTAAGAAACCTCACCACTAAAGCCAACCATATGGCTGAGCTTGAAATGATACTTTCATGTGCTGATTTTACCAAGAAGCTGTGCAAATATTGCAGGACAATATGAATCCAGTTGAATCCAGTTCACAATGAAAGAGAAAACAAAAAAAAAATAGCTGGCATTTCTGGGTGTACTAATAACTTGCACAGAGAATAAATTAAAGACATGCTTATCACAACCCAACCTTTATCAGAAAACAAACCTTAACTTCAGTTCTCATCAGCCATACAGCAAAAAGAAAGGGATTGTTCAGTGTCTACAACTTTATGCAAAAATCCTAAGTGACAACCCAGACACAACAACAGGAAGTGGTCAGCATCAAACATACCCTTCAGAATAACAACTATCATGCAAACATAACATCAGCTTTTGCAAGCAGAGAAAGAACTGTCAAAGAAGAATATTGGACAACTGTCATGGTAAGTTTCTTACATCAAGGCTGATAGAAAGAATTCAGATCTGCTGTCCATACAGTAACATAAGGACAATGTTCAGAAGCAGTTCAATCTTATATAGAAATCTTTGCTGGGAGGAGAACATGTCCAAGAACTTTTTGGTGAAGGTTAACTTGTGATATGCATCCTTTGTAATTGTAGTAAAGATTGCAAAGGTGAAACCGGCTAACTCGTAAAAATAAAGCTGGAGAAATGTGAAAAGGCTGTAATTAGGGGTGCTACAATGAAGAGTGTATAGAGAGAAAAGAGTAGTCTGTTGAATGAAGTAAAAATATTAGAAGAATACTAAAGAATCAAGCATCTGAAGGAATTAGAATATATGGTAGGCTTATGGGGGCATTGATAAAGAAAGAGAATATTGGTTGAGTCAGTCAAGCATGACAGCAAGAGGAGGCAGTAGAACCATTAAGGCTCCAAGTTTTAGTTTCAGGATTGTCCTATGGGACAATAATCTAGAGGATTACAGTGTTGGCTTTCAAATTTGGTGGCATAATAATTGTGAGTTCAATCCCTGGGTTAGGTAGTATAGATATACTCAGACTTAGTGGAAACAAAATTAGCAATGCTAAAAAGAACATTAAATTTCATTAAATAAAGGGTTTGGTTCAAAATTCCCTGAAAGTTACCCAGATTGATAGACATAAGGGATGGATGCAAAAATGTTGTCCATAACAACAACAACAACAACAACAAAGATGAGGGTAATAGTCTGACTATAAATGATTTTTGCTGATTTAGTTGTTTTGACTTAATATGGATAGGTTCTAAAATTTGTAATCTTTGTTTTGTTAAGTATTGTATTATTCACAAGGAGCTTATATTATTGTAAGTTTTGCGTTTCATTAACATGTTGCAGTATAGCACTTTTGTTGTAATTATGACACAGGAGTGTAAGAAAAATTCATTCTATACATCATAGAACTACAAGAAGAAAATCACATCATAACTCACCCAGGATTACACAACTATCTATCAACAGAATTATTAAAAGCAGGTAATAGTAAGAAATATTTTTAAATAGTAATGAAATCATATTAAACAGCTTTATAACAATAATTGAAAGAGGTGATAAACGTAACACTTTCATTATTTTAAATAGGAAACACCATTTCTTTGTTATTATAATTTGAAAAGATGCCATTTAATATTCCTGATTTCTTTTGGAATATTTCTTCTTCTTTCCATTATGCCTTCTTCTCTAGTTGTATAAAAATATACAAGATATTGAAAAAGGAATTGAAACATTCTGAATAAGGAAGTAAAATAATAGCTTCAAAAAATGTTATTTTAAACTTGTAAAATCTTTGTGCATTGATAATAATGAGCTCAGATTCACCATTGGTACCAATTTTGTGGTATTACTTTGGGGTGGGGGGAGAAAAGCTAAAAAGAAAACCTTATTTTAATCTTGTTTGAAAAACTCTTGATATTATGTCCATTGATTTCATTAGTAGAAATACCATTTAAATAAATGTAAAATGATTATAGTTGGGATTATTTTCAATTAGAATCTTTTATAAACATAACATTCTTTAAATAAAATTTCAG